ATATGTAATATATAACTATGCATTTAAGAATTTATACTACTACTCCATTTCACAAAAAATGAACAATAGTTAATTTTACCAATCAGGGGAACAAAAATATATTTGAAACAAATTGGTTAAGTAACATATACAAATAAAAATTTAGTGAGCTATGTTGTTTATACTTTTCATCAGGAAATTCAAATTTGGATACATGATATATAATAAAAACTTTTTTGTATTTTGGTGTTTGGGATTTTATTTTATTTTTGGCATGTCTGCATTTATTTTAATTTACTTATTTTTTAACATAATTTCATTGAATTTTTGTGGATTCATACATTACATCTTAATCATATTTAGCTTGTCCCAACAGGCCTTAACATATATGACAAAATGCATAAAGTTTTGTGGGAGGGTTATGGTGGATGAAGATAAGGAAAGGAGAGCTAAATAAAACTTTTTGCATTTCTCATTTTTAACCCTTATTCCCATAACTAAGCACATCAATTGTCAGTTCTAGTTCTTCTACAATTAGATACTATTAGTGGTTTATACTGTTACAGATTCAACTGTGACCTCCAAAAATTTATAACTGAGTTTAAGAGTTGAGGTCCCAACTCCCAGAACTGTAGAACAGGAACTTAGAGATATGGTCCTTACAGATGTACTTGAGTTAAATCACAGTCATAAGGTGGATATAATTCCATTATGACAGATGTTCTTATTTTTCTTTTTAAAAGAGGAAATTTGAAGACTGGTTGAATGCCAGGTGAAAACGAAGACCGTAGTTTATACGAAAGGCCTAAATGAGATCGTTCCTTCAGAGCACCCAGAATAAACCAACCATACCACCTTGAGTTTCCATTTCTAGTATATGAAACTATAAGTCAATAAATTTCTGTCATTAAGTCATTATTTTTAGGTCTTCCTTATGGAAACTCTAAAAAATTAATACAGAATGTAAGAGATTTGTAGGAATTCCTGTGAGGAATTCTGGACTAGACAAAGTAAGGAGATCCTACAGAGGATGATATATGCTGACATTTAAAAGGAAGGATGACTAGATATGGAGAAGCGAGGCCTGTAATATACTTCTAAAAGAGTCTGATGGTATGCCCATAAGCAAAGACTGACTGTTTAAGGAGTCCCGTGTATCTCAGCATGCTCTGCTGTATTAGGGCACTGACTGGGAACAGATCTAGGAATTATGGTCCTGCCTTGAATGTCAAGATGAATACGAAGCTTAGAAAGCTGGTGACTGTCAGTCAACCATACCTTCAGCAGCAGGTTTCCCTAGAACCTTACTGAGGGGATGTAGTTCAGCTAGTAGACTGCTTGCTCTCCATGCACAAAGCCCTGGGATTGATACCAAGACCCACAAAAAATGGGTTTGTTGGTGCATGCCTCTGAAGAAAGGTCAGAAGTTTAAAGTCCTTCTAAGCTACACAAGGAGTTTGAATCCAGACTATAATATTGTAGCTGCTGTCTCAAAAATAAATGAGTAAACGCTCTTAAAAAAAAAATGAAATCAGTGTTTTCTATGGCTGCCATGATTCCTAAGTCCTACTGTGTATACTTTAAGTAACTGAGATTGTTTTATATTGCTGCACTGTATCACTGCTGTCTTTCCATCTACGAAAACAGCTTTCTAAGTGCTTACTTCTATCAACTCCTGAAACCCACTTACTTCTGCTGCAGATCTTCAATTGATTAGATTAGTCAGCACTAAGTCATGATCTGTAATGTTTTACAAAGTTGAACACAGGATGACATGTACCACTCTTACTACCTTGACTGGGCCCTCCCCTCAACATTCAGCTTCACTTTCTGCAGCCCATCTGAGCATTCAGTCCTGAAAGATGGCCGTAATTCCTCTGCCACCACCTAACTCTTCTCACTTGCATTTCAAATACTACTGGGCTTAGCTTATTTATACAGATTTTTATACAGCTTTTAGAACAAGTATCCTTATTGAAGCCTTTCCCAATATACCTAGCTGGATTTTTTAAAAAAGTGTATCGGTTCCATAGTATTCATTTGATTCTCTGAAAGTTATGTGTCATTGGTGTATTCAGCTGTGTAATTAAATAATTTAATTGACTATCTTCTCTATCAGACCGTCCCTGGAGTAGCTGCATCTATATTTATATATCATTATTGCCACAGCACAAGTTCTGCCATAAAATAGATGTCTGGAAAATATCCTTAAATAAATTCACTGAAATATAGGGATTCATAATCTCACATTTTAATCAAAATAGCTGTAATTTTTAAGTGAATCTTCATACCTCCAGGACACAGCAACACCTATAAGGAAAGCATCTCCTGAAACATATATAGCAAAATATAATGGAGATACAGCCAAGTTT